TACTTTGTTTTTAATACTTATATATTATTTTGGTGTGGCGTGTTTAGTGTACAAATTTCGTACAAACATAATAACACACAATACAATGCAATGCTGCAACATATATTTGTGTTTCTATATTGTAAATGTTTATTATTATGTAGAGTACCTATACAACAGAAAAACAGACTACACTACTACAGTCAGACAGTTTGTGTAGTGTGTGGACACAAAATGAAACATGCAGAGGCAACACAAAGAAAAAATAAAGTATAGTTGATAATATAAAAAAATAACATTAAAACAACATTAGAATGACATCGATAAGGCGCGGAACTCCATTACTACTGTGTTTTGTATAAACTATATATTATATTATATTATATACGTAGTACGTGACAGCTGACGGCTATCTAACCAAACTGTATATTACAAATATATTATTATGTATAACTACTATAAAATATGTGTTTGGATTTGAAACTGCATTTTTATGATGCGTCTCAGACTTGGATTTTTATAATTATAATAAATTATAATAATAACGTTACTATATTTTGTTACTTCTTATATTTTTTTTTATTTATTTTTTTATTCGATGGTCCGTGTAGATGATGGGATATCAACCTATCTACCTACTTAAAAAAGTCAAGCCGTAAAGAAATAATTCAGAATGCATGTCTATTTATTATACTACGCATATTATATACATATAGATAGATAGGATTGGTACTTGCCCATATTGACTTGATTTTTTTTTTTATCAATTTAAATAATCATCCCATTTTTTACTAGAATGCATTAAATCTGTAATATTGGAATACGTTTTAGAAACTAAGGGCATAGTATAATACATATTTTATTATACAATGATAATCGGATAAGTTTTAGATGTAATCTTTGCCGTAGACTGTACAGTGTGTTATTTAGTATGTTTATTGATATTTCATCAGCGGGTTATACACGTGTTTCCAATTTGGTATAAGCATAAGAAATATGTTCAACTATAATACGATTTAGGTATATATATTCGATAACCGGCTAGAGTTATGTGTTTTTTCGATTAATGATAATCTTTTGAACTCACTCCATGATTCTTTTGTAAATTATTAAAATATAAGTATTGTAAGGACATTTCAATAACAAAAATTTGTTCTTGTTTGATCAAATCAACACTGTATATATAGGTACTCACATTAACTTGCATTATATACGCATGTACGTATTTGTTTATTTCTTTTAATTACCTACATTGTTTTTAATTTATAATGATTATATAATATTTTTATGTCTTTTTTAATTATAAAAAAAAAAATACTCATGCTTATAAATTATTATTTAATTAAATATAGTCTTTTTGTGTTTCTATTTGCCACTTCCATTGTCATGTAACTGATAAATATTATAAATTCTAATACATACATTTTTAGTAAATTCTGAGTAATAATATATTTATAAATATATTATATACATTATTTACACTAATATACTAATAATAGATACATTTAAAAGTATTTTATATAACGATTGATGACTTAAAATACAATGTTTTGTCTTTAGTATGGTGTGATTATTATTTTATATAATTTTATGTACCTAATTCGAAAATGAACTATAATTCAAAACTCAAAAGACATAATAATATTTAAAACATTAAATTAAATAAGAGTATTAATACACGACTAGGCTTTATGTCATCCCAGTATTGATCTCTGTTATAAGTAGGCCAATCAATATAGTACCAACCCATAGTATATACTATATATTATACTGGTATATCATGTATCCACTCGTTCTTCCCAAATGATTTTGCGTCTGCGTGTTTGATGTTAACGTTTATATAAAAAATATATTATTCAAATGTAGTTAAAAACGTGAACCGTATAAAATGATTAAAATGTATTGCGGAGCCAAAACTTTAATTATTTTAAGTTACTGTTAGTAACATTGAGTTAACAGTACATAATTTATTGCGTTTACACGGTCAATATATCTCAACTCTCAAGTACCTGTAGAGTGTAGAAGTAGATAGTTCCCAAAAAATAAAGCATATAATAAATAAACGTCAACAAGTTAATGGTTTTAAAAGCTTGATATACTTACGTTTAACGAGTTTTTCATAGGAACTTCATATATATTTTGACATTGAGGCAATAAGTAAACATTATATATTAATAATATATACAAAATCTGCAATTAAAAAATTGTATTATTTTTATTTAATTTTTGTTAATGATAATTAATAATTACTTATTAATTGTCCAATGGGTCAATTATTCTATGTATGAATGCATATTTTATAAATATATATAATATGTATAATGTATATTTTGTAGTAATATTTAACTTCTTCTGTAGGTATATATATATATATATATATATATATGTGTGTGTTTAAAGTACCTAAATTAAAAATTAAAATTAAAACGTGCCTTATATATATATAGGAAAGAGACAAGTGACGTATTTGTAATGATAACTTTTCGCTTTGTAAATATAAAATTTATATGTATACCTACATTAATATTATGTATTATTTGTCATAGATTATATTTTTGTCATTCTTAGGATTTACCTATAGCTCTGTGTGTCTATACTTATTTTGTAAATGATAACTACCAAAATGTCAAAGCATAATAATTCCACTACAATTAGATAAAAAAAAAAAATGTTGTGTGATGAGCATTTAACGTTCCAATTAGTATTAATATAAATTTTAATTAAATGATCTACCTGACAAAATGAACAACTAAATTTTGTAAGTACCTACAAATATTATAAATACGAGTATCATAATTTGTTAGTGATATAAGTATATTTCTAACTACTTTCTTTGGGGTTTGAACACTATTTTAATTTTGGGAGCATGATGCAATATTGAACCATTATTTTTACCTTGTAAATTATCTGGTTTGTCAAGTTATACTCATACAGCGATATACTTATATAATACATACAATATACATATATATTTTTTTTTAGGTTGAATAATTAATTTAATTTTTTTTTCATTTAATAAGGCCTAGTAATTGTAAATTTTATATTTATTCATTTTTAAATAAATAATTTCTAGTTTTACTATAAAGATAAAGGATACAGAACATTTTTCCTTGGACTTTATATTCTTATTGCTGCGATTCTCTGTAAACAGGACCAATATATTATAGTAAACGTGAAAATACGTGCGTATCGCGTATGCGTGTATGACTAATCAGTAGTAACTACTATGACTATGATAGTATGACGTATAATATAATCTCATTATAATTTATATGAGTACATTAACTCATCTCCCATAGTACTATACGATAAAACATCACAGTAAAAATATGTTTTACAATTCGATAAATGCATCAAATGACAAGTATCATACTTTTTATATAAATAAATGATGTACATTTATATAGTTCACTTGGCGGACACCTGTTTATTTTTTTATCGATACAATATATATATTTTGGTTGCGTCTCAGCAGGGTTCGTATAAGTCTATTTTGTAAATCTAATCACTAATCATATATGTATTTCTTTTCAACGGTTGTATACGTTGTTAACCATAGAGGGTCGGAGAAGCAGCTGCTACTAAGAAGTGACACATTATGTGCAGCAACTGCTAAATATTGTCTGCAAGTTATAAATTTTTCGATTTATAATAATGTGAGGCGAGGGTGTGCAGTGAGCACACAGACAAATAGGTTTATAAAAGTAACCAGTTTTCCATTTTTCTGTAATTTACAGAGACTGTCACAATGGCTGACGGTACGCTGTAGTCTATACATCAGGGGTCTCCAACCTTTTTTTACGGCGGGCCAAATTTGATATACGCTTTGGCATCGCGGGCCAACATTTTTAGATGTGTTGTCTAAAAATGTTGTCTATCTAGATTCAGGAATATCTGATAGGTTATGATAGAAATAAATAAGAATAGATGAGATTTATTTAAAAAAATGTATGTTTATTTATATAATTTTTCTAATTTATTAATCAATTTAATAAAAAATAAATTAAAAACAATGAAAATTAATATATTATTTTCAAAACATTAATTAGCTTGGCGGGCCGGTGCAAAAAGCTTGGCGGGCCGTAGGTTGGAGACCCCTGGTCTACATTATAAAAAATATAGGGGTGAGCCTGACTACCTAAGTATATATTTCATGTATATAAGTCGTCATATTGAAAGTCGAATCACAGCTGCAGTAGTAATATTGTCACATGATTTACGAAAGGGAAAAAAACTCGTTTTATCTTCCGTATATACACATCCTAAATAATATACTGTAATACATCATATTATATTTAATGACTAACGGTTGTGTCGTGGTGTACCTATAAACTTATATAGGTATTGAAGTATTCGAGTAATTTAAAAAACATAGCCAACTATAGATATATTGTGTTGCATAATAAATCGTGCGATACAGAATGCACGAGGGACACGTAGGTAGTAGGAGTGAGTATGCGTTTATAACAGTTTATATAAATATTACATTTTTCCAACGAATATTATGGGGCTGCTATTCGACTAGTTTAAAACGCAAGCCTAAAAGCCTATGCGGATGATTAAAGAGAGAATAAGATGTTTTATGAGTTATTTTTAAATTAAGGATAGGTGCATGTTGTGCTTAAGCCGGCTAATGTAAGATATCAATTAAGAATATTGTATAATATACGACACACTACTCGTATTGCTATGATATGTAGTTCGTGACTCGCGGCAACGGGTTTTTCAGGTCCCGGTCGTTTGATCACATCAAGGATATCTCATAGACGTCCGGAATTCCGGATCACAGCAGTTGCCCGAGAATGACACGCTATAATTGAGAACCGTAGACATTCCGTCTTGTTTCTTTCACTTTTACACCGTCGATCGGGACGATGAAAACATCATCAAGAAACAATGCGCATGGCACGCATGCGGGATGTTTGGGAAACCTGCGAAAAGCCAAAGATTTCGGCCGGGGAAAAACGAGTGTTTATCTCTGCGCGACATACGGCCGCATCAGTTTTTGTTATAATTCAAAACGTTATTGATTTGTTGGAACTACTCAATGTCGTCATTTCTTCGTAGGAACCTCCACATCCAGTCTATCACGCAGACGACGTGCGCAACATTTGGG